GAGGAGGAAGAAGAAGAAGAAGAAGAAGAAGAAGAAGAAGAAGAAGAAGAAGAAGAAGAAGAAGAAGAAGAAGAAGAAGAAGAAGAAGAAGAAAAAGAAGAGGAAAACTGGATTAGTTTCTTTTGAAGAACCATCATTATGAAAAATATTTTCAGGAAATACATGTTGAGAGACACTTTAAATCATACCATTTTCACAAATAAATTAAGCAAATGATTAACTTTGAGCTGCTAACTCAAGAGTTAAGTTAGCTATGAACCAGAGACTTTTTTACTCTTTGGACCTTAAAAAGGAGAGGACATTGTATTATGGCTTGTGATATGCATTTTTCACTAATTATTAACATCTTTGCTTATACATTATTATCTTGCAAATAGAACTCTTGGCTTTCTTTCAGTTGACTCTAAATATAAGCTTACATGGGAAAAGAACATGTATATGTACTTTCCTCTTCTGTAATTCTTTGGTGAAATGTTTTCAGAAGGCCAAAATTGACAGTAAAGTGTGAATGTAAGATGAATTATACCCTAAAAATGTATCATCTCTTCATGACCATAAACTTGGAGATTCTTTAAGTAATAATAGTGAAGATAGAAACAGAATAGTTAATATGTTGAAAAGTGCCCTTAAGAAAATAAAACGGATGGTGGAGAAATGTGTAATCTTTGTTGGCAGTGAGGAAAAAGGCACGTGACTCCATTTTAAAGGAACAATGTGGAATTTAGTTTTAATAAGCCTTATTTAAAAACAATGACTTTAGTACATTAAGTTGACTATGTCTTAGACACGCCCATAATACAGCCATGCACTCAGATTTATCATTGCAACAGCATGTGTTACACTTCATTGAAACCTTAGGCAAATGCCATATATTTTCTAATATTGGTTCACACAATGGTTACAAGCCTTAGATTCTTCACATACTTGCTCCTAATTTTTTTTTTAATCCCATGGGAATTTAAACTCCAAATGACCTAATATTTCTCCTTTAAAGTAAATTTCACTTTATTTTCAATTTTTTCTTTTTTTAAGAGCAGACTATATTTATTGAGGGAAAGGAGCGTCTGTCCAAGGGAGGGATAGAAGAGGACCCAAGTGGGCTGTCCTCCCTTTCTGCACAGGTTACGAATGTGTGTCTTGAATGCCTTGAAAACTCTTGTGAGAAAAGAATATCACAGCCTTTCTCATTACTCATGTAAGTTTTAATACAAACCAAAATTCCAGAGCTGTCACTGACTCTCACAGGCAGGCAGTTCATTGCATTTCTAACTTTTTGCACAGGGCTTTGATTTGTGATTTTTTTTTTTCTCTTGTATTTTAGAACAGGGTCTCACTATGTAGATTGGACTTGTAGTGATTCTCCTGTTTTCAGCCTCCCAAGCACTGGGATTACAGGTGTGCACCACCATGCCAGTCTCAATCGCCGTCCAGAGTCTCGGGGTGGGGCAGGCACGGCATGCTGGGGATCGAACCCCAGGCGCTGTGTCTGCCTAAGCAGGTACTTTAATATGCTGAACTATTTGGCCTGTCCTGATTTGTGATCTGAACCATGTTTTTTGAACACTGGGACTCAGATCCACAGAAGGGGAATGGTAATATAAGTACCACTGACCGACAGACAAAGGCACCTGCCAAGATAAAAAGCAGCGTGGAACCCAGAGGAAATTTCCCAGTACTTATAGGATCTCCTTTTCCTCTCTAATTACTAACGGGATAGTGAATCCACCATGCCTTTCAAATCAGGCCATCTTCTCATCTTGTAATAACTGGCTAATGCAGAGACCATGGTAATAACTGAAGTAGAAAGAACCATTATTGACAAGAGGAAATTGCTATCAGGAAAATTTCAAGGAATTAAACAATCTGTGGTCAAATACTCTAATTTCAAATAATTTTTTTATCTTAAATTCATTTCCCAAGTATGCAAGGCCTGAGAATAGTTGGATTCTAAAGGAACCTAGAGCTTAATTGACAATCAAAATTTCCTTTGGTTGGTTGTTATAAATGCTCTTTGGCTCACATTTTTAACAAGAGTGTTTTGGATTAATTAATACTGTCTTCCCGTGGTAGAAATGTGACAGGTGAGCCTAAACTTGTCTGACAAAAATATTCTGTTTTGGTACTTTAAGTGACCATAAAGCTCTGTGACAAAGTCTCTATGACAGTGTTGCTCCAGTGTCGTTTTGCCCATACAGTGCTTTACAAACATTTAATTGTAAACATTCTTTAAATCTCTGGGTGGGGGGTGTGGCTCAGAGGTAGAGCATACCCCTAGAACATGTGTGATCCTGGGTTCAGTCCACAGGATTATCAAAAAGAAAATAAATTAAATCTAAGTATTTCAAATAGAAGTCTAGATTTCCAGTTTATTCTGTGTTATTGCAAGACATGGCCACCCTAGGATAGCATTCTAGTCGTAACATCAGCTGAAGCTGGACACCTGCTGTTTCCTTTAGAGGAAACTGGTCCTCTCCAGCGCACCTTGGTCTCCAGCTTCCTTTTTTTTTTTTTTTTTTTTTTGCGGAACTGGGGATTGAACTCAGGTCCTTGCGCTTGCCAGGGAAGCACTTATCCTACTGAGCCATCTCCCCGGCCCCACCTTTTTTACCATATATGGACTAATTTATTTGATTTTACAACCCAACTAATGGACTCAGTAAGCTATTGAGTTTGGTTTCCTACTCTGTAAATATCAAGATGCACTCTTCCTTGAAAACAAGACTCTGGATGTCCTTAAATCCTTTTTAAGCTTTGTTATTTTTTAAGAATTATGCCTGGTAATGCTTAAAAATATGTCAAGAGAAATACAGTAAGTTCCAGGGGGTCCTGCCCGTGTGCAGTGTTACCAGTGTTGTCACTTTATGTCTCAGTATCTGAAAACATCATTTTGGACAAGCATTGCAGAACTACTTGGCTGTAGCCAATTCTGTGACTGCTGATGATTTTAGTTATTTGAACAAGTAAAAGAACACGTCTATCAAAGTTTATGTCACAATCTAAAAAGAAAAGTTTCCACTCATGTAGTCAAATCTTTTCTTTAGGAACTTACCGGTAATGGTCCTGACTTCTGGTTTTTTAGGTTCTGGTCTCCTTAGTTCTTTAGGCAACAAGTTGTTTTCATTTTGCCACTTTTTTAGGCATTGTGGTTCATGGATGCTAATGGACTTTGTTCCATATTCACGACCACAGATGTAACAAACAACTGTTGGTGGACGCCTTATCATTGTTGACTGCCAATAACATAAAATATCCATTAACTAAAGCTCTGATTTGGAAAGTATATTTTTAAATTATAGTGCTTTCAAACTTTCTAGAAAATCAATATGATTCTAATAGACTGTAACACTTTTGGTGAATTTATCCTTTTCTGAAATTAGGACAATAGAACAAACTATTTTATTTGAGTAGGTAGGGACTTAGAAATGAAGAAGCAGCCAGAATTCTTCATATTGATCCTGTATAAAATGTATTTTCTGGCCTGTAATCCCAGTACTTAGGAGGCTGTAAACATGAGAATCACTATGAATCTGATCTATGTAGTGAGACCCTGAGCATCCTGTAGACCCTGCCTAAATACAGAAAGAAATGAAAAACAAAAAACAAAAAAATATATTTTCTTATGTAACAAATAATTTTCTCTATTTTGTACTTGAGTTATAACACTGGGATTACACAAAGGTAAGCCACATAGGAGTTCACCATAATAGAGGATCTGGATGATGATATGTCTGAGAAATAAAGGTGCCATTGGAGAGTTTAAAATAGATTTTAGGGTTGCCCATATCCTCTTGAGTCAAACAACTGTGCTTCTCTGCTCTTTTGATGTGGAGTAGGCCCCACCATGAGGAGGACTAGTAGTTCATCATGGCTAAGGATAAGCTGGTGGATAAATAAATGCCCAGTGTTTCCACCAAGGCTGACTCCATGCAGTCTCCCAGAAGCCCCAGGGAGATAGTACTGCAGCTACTGATTATATTATTTTGACTTCCTTTCTTTGCATGTCTCCCCTCTTATTCTTTTACTGGACCTTCTTGGATCATTTCCCAAATAAGCTAATTGATTCTAAATCCTTTACTTAGTTCTCCTGCTTCTGGGGGTACCTAATCTATGGGAAAATTAAGGATAAAATGCTATAAAGAATTTCTGCTTTCTGTATTGGAGATATAAAGGTAGAAGATTTTTATAGAATTATTTTAAAGCCCTTTGGAGACTCAAAGTTGTACTGCAAACTGGAAAACTAAAAGGCTCAACTTAAATTGGACCTGCAGAGCCAAAAAGTCAAAAACAAAAAAGCACAAGAAACAAATGGAAACTCCTCCACACTACAAACTTTATAGGAGTATCAAACAGCAGTTATCTGCCAGAGAGTAAGATAAGGGAAGCTGAGGACCAACTCTTCACGAGTTCAGGGGTGGCTGTGTGTATTTGTCTCCCCTCCTTTCTGTTTAGTAACAAGAGGCAAAAAATATAATACTAGGAGAGGAAGAGGCATTGAGAGAAATCTCCACCATTTCAAGGACACAAGCCTATCTAAAGTTGAGAGCACAGCTAGAGAATTGGGCCTTGTGCTGAGTACCAGACAAAAGCAGAAATAATATACACAAGTGAACAATAAAATATGTGCATGCATTAAGCATCCTCCAACATAGGGTAGGAAAGGAGAAACAAAGAATCAAAAAAGGAAGGGTGGTGGTAATGGAGAATAGAATTAAACACCAACGCGGTAGACCTAAGTTCAAACGTATCAATAATTGGATTAAATATAAACGGGCTAATAAATACAAATAAAAGACAGATTCCCAGTCTAGATTAAAAAGGCAAGCCCCACCGATGACACTGATGATTGGTTTACAAGAAATACTTTTGTATGGGACCAGCAAGATAATTCAGCAGACTAAAGCAACTGCTTAGGCAAGCTTAGGCAAGCACGGGGACCATGATTCCATCTCCAGTACCACATGTTGCTCCAGCCCTGCCCCCAGGGTGTGCTGAGCAGGCCAGAGTCTGGGCATAGTGGTGCATGTCTGTAATCTCAGGGCCGGGGGGGAGGCAGAATGCAGGAGGATCACCACGAGTCCAAGCTGGATAGTAAAACCTTGCAATAACCAAATACATTAAAAAAAAAAAAAAAGAAATACTTTTGTAAACATGTGGATTATTACAAGTAAAAAAATGATAAAATATTCCATGTAAATACTATGCAAAAGAAAGTGGGTGTAGGTTTTAATAAAATGTAATAGAAATTCAGATGTTTGAAAGGTGTACTCCAGTTTTGAAGATCAGAGAAAGCTCTAAAATTACAACATTTGAAGAATGGGTAGAACTTAGGCAAAAAAGAGTGAGAGGAATAGAGAAGTAAATTATAGAGTAATGAAACAAAATGAATGTGACCCCAGGACCAGGACTCATACAGTAAATACAGAGAACAGGAAATAATTATACTCGCCTGATGTTCAGTATAGTATCAGGAATGAGAATCAGACAGGTAAGCTGAAATTATGTTGCAAACAACCATAAATGCCATGGTATATAGATTCTATTTTATAAATGACAGGATAATATTAAGAGCGCTAAACTATAATTGTGCTTTAAGAAGGTTAATCTGGTGGTATAAGGCTAGCAGACTAAGCATATGCACAAGAGTCCAAACATTCTTGGCTATGGGACTGAGGAAATCACAGGTCTGAGAAGCTGCCAATATTTTATTCTGGTGACAGGCAAGCTGGTGACGTCATTTACAGAAAGGGAAACCAGGAAAGGTGAGTTGAAGAGGGAGAAAAATAGACTCTGTTTTGAATCTGCAGTTTGATGTACTAGTAGAATTTAATGTGGATACAACCAGCCGAAAGAGGAAATACAAGCCTATAGTTTAGGATTAATAGACCTTAGAATGATTCACACAGAAAAGGATGTATAAAATATGAAAATTCCAGAGGAGGAGAGTACACAGAAAACATATGAAAAAAAAATCCCTGTAGAATGTCTACAATAAGGATATTGGACAAAAAAGTCACAGGCAGAAAACACAAAGAATAGTTTAAATTTGCAGTTAAAAAATAGTATAGGGAGAAAAGATTTCATTCAGAATTCTGGAAACATTTCTTTCTGGTTTTCTGAAAGATGTTTTCAACCACTTTAAGTCTAATGCTGCAGAAGTAATAGGTGATTAAAAAGAAGAGGACATTAGATTTAATTAAGAGTAGATTATGTACCAGTGACTTTTGGGAGTTTAGGTACAATAGAGTGATGACGATGATAAAAACTAAATGGTTAGGAATTAAAAATCAGGTCAAAGCAAAAGGAATGCTTTCACAACTGAAACTTGAGACACAAGAATTGAATAAAGATTTGTAGTTTCCCATCATGTCACAGTGATATATGTGCACCTATGTTTATAGCAGTGAAATTTGTCATAGCTAAATCCTGGAAACAACCCAAGTCCCCCCCCTCCACTGAGGAATGGGTAAAGAAGATGTGGTATTTCTATACAATGGAATATTACTCACCTATAAAAAGATCAACTAGAGGCTTTCATAGGTAAATGGGTGCAGCTAGAGACCATACTCATGAGTGAAATCAGCCCCACATGTGTAAATGTCGTTTGTCTCCCTAGAGTAAGAACATGAAAAAGTAAGATCAGAAAGGCACAATAGGTACTGTGAGAGGGAAAGAGACTGCTCAAGGAACAACTGAGATGAGGGAAAGGAGGAAAGAAAGAAGGAAGGAAGGGGAAAAAAGTGTGTATATACACAGGATAGCCGGGATTGTTGTACTGCTGATTTCTACTGGTCTATTGAAAGGAACAATAAATGAGTAAATTCTTTTGTTTCCTCTTTTTAATTTTTAATTTATTATAATTGCTTTTTAAATCAATTTTACATGCTTATATCTAAGAGTGGTTTATTTTTTGTCTTTGGTACCAAGGATGGAACCCAAGGCTTCCAGCTTGCTAGGCAAGTGTTCTACCGCTGAGCCAAATTCCCAGCCCCTGTATGCTTATATCTGGTAATCTGAACAACTAATTTGAAGACAAAATATGCAATATAGCAACCACTGTTGCATTCCTAAAAAAAAAGATTTGTTAATTGTTATAGTTTTCATGGGATAGAGTATCTTCTGCACAGGGTGAGAGAATGTAGGCCCAAGATCAAGATAGTCTGTAGAGAAAAGTCTCAGAGGAGGTGGCAAGAGGCTATCAGGAAGGAAACTGGAGCAGGAGCCCTTGTGGAAAAGGAAGACTGAAGAAAAAGAGGGCGTTAGAAAAAGTTGTGGAAGAGGAAGGCATTGACGGAGTTCACACAGATGAACTCAGGTTTCTAAGTATGAGATAAAATGATCTTCAGAGAATACAAAGATTTAGATTCTGGGAAACAATAGTGAAAAATAATGACATTAAACATTGTGGGATTGTAACAGTGACTCAATTAGGGAAAAATACTCACCAATTAATGGCAAAGATCTATTTAAGTAGCACTGCAAGATATTTCAATAGAATTAAATAACTTTTTCCCAATATGTTCTTTCATAGCCCCAGGAGGCATGAAAACAAACAAATGAAGCTGATGGTATGGTCTCCTTGGGGAGAATAAAATATGGTAAAATGTATGTGTTTTAGAATTAGTCTGTTCTTAACTATGACTGTTGGGAATTACTCTTAAAATAGGAAAAAGAGAACAAGATCAAAATCAGAAAGAAATGTGTTTATTATTTCTGCCTTCAGAAATAAAAAAAAGTGTACAAGTTCACAATTATTACAGAGAGACCAAATACAAATGGAGGCTTTTTACTTCTTAAATGATCCAAGTTTTTAGAGCATATTATTTGAGATAGAATATTTTATACTAAATTATACCAATAGATTGTAGATTCATGAAAATAACTAAGTAGTTGTTTATACTTTTTAAAAAAATCCCTGTAGTAGGTTATGATACCTGAAAACTGACTTTAAAAGTATTTGACAAATTCAAGATCTAAGAAAATATAAAGTACAAACAATACTTTTCGAGTTACCCAAAAATTCCCTGCTATTTTCTAACATGTTTATTTACTTGAAAGGTTAATTAAATGCAGGTTTTTCAGTTGAAGAATGCAAAGTTACTCGTTTTTACTTTGAGAATAGTGAATTTATTAAAATTCCATATGGAAAGCATGAGCCAAATCCAGCATTTAACCAAGCATATAAGTAACATAAATGACATGGGTCATAAATGAAGATATTCATGTCAAATTG